TACTACTACTACTACTACTAAACATGCTGCGAAAACAATAATAATATTCATGATAATAATACTCACTACTACCCATGCTACTACCCAGGCTGCCACCAAAAGCACTTCTGCTATACTAATACTCGCACCGCGCCACCACACCAAGACAACAACGACAGCGATCATTGCTGTCAAAACTGAACTACCGCTACCACTACGACGACCACGACTATTTACAGCTACTGCTGCCGCTCCACCGTGCTCCATGGGGACCTTTGATATTTGCAACCCGTCTACATTGCATCAGCAATTACATCTAGAAACACGCATTCGGGCTTTGCGCCGATGCTTTGAAGTCTCGGGCTGGAGGTTTGGTGCTTCACATCTGAGTGTCGGCGTTTTGGGTGGTAGCTGAGTCCTGGGGTCTATATGATTTGTGCATCGATGGGTGCCTGCCCATGCGTCCAGGGCAGGAAAGCCTTGTTCGGGCCTAAGTGTCCGCACCTGTTCTGATGCCTGCTGCTTCAGGTCCCACGGCCCCAAGTTCGGGGTTAAGGGTTTAGGGATTTTGGGGNNGGGTTTTGGGATTTAGGGCTTAGGGAAAAATGTAGTCAACATGAGTAGGTATGTAGGGGGAACGCCAACATGACGACCGCCCTGTATACAGTACCGTCCCCGCTTACGGACCTCACTCACAAAACTGTAGTTCTTGTTATCGTCATCCTTCTTATTGCTGCAAACACTATTATCAATACTATGACCATTACTATAGTGAAACCACTGTACAAGAGATGACTGGCTAAGAAACGTAGGGGCGACGTCAGCAGGATAACACCAAAAACCTATTGCCTTCTAGCTAAGAAATGAATGGTACCCAACGATTTGTCGCCATTTCTTATTTGGCGTGGTCCTTTAAGGGCCGCGTTTCTTTTTCGGGTGTGTTCAGGGCTCCAAAAATCCCTGCAAGATAAGAAATGTGGGGGGTTACGTTTCTTAAGAAGGGACTCCTAGAATCCTAGAACCCCTAAAATAGGAAATGCAAGCGGCTACGTTTCTTCAACTAGTACGTGGTTTTCAAGGGCCCCTAAAGCCCGGGCTACGTTTCTTAAACTTGGGATTCTCAGGGCTCCTCCCGCAACCTAAGAAATCAGCCATGTTTGTGGTTTTCTTTTTTTTTTTTGGGGGGGGGNNGGGGGAGAGGGGGGGTTAGGACTACATTTGTGATTCCTTACCCCAATTTTAAGAAACGTAGCCCCCTACACGTCTTGTTTTGGGCCCACCATTCTAAGCAACGTATCCGTAGCTCTTTACAATTGTCTTATAAGCCCTAAATCCTGAAGCCGTAGAAGCAACCTCGCACTTTTTCATGCAGGGGTAGCCCAGCGCGACTTCTTCAAAGCGTACGACAAGGCATCCTGCACATCGGCATTGAAGGTCTTGTAGTCGCCGCAGCCAGCCTCGATCGTTGCCAACAGCTTCTGACGGTCGCAGGCCTTTACACACTGGGCCACCTCGGCGTCGAACGTTCGGATGCGCTCATCCAAGTCGTTGCAAAGGGGAAGCATCTCGATAGTGTCTCGAGAACGGCTCAGCTGGAGGTAAATGAAGACCTCCTCCAAGCACCAGAGACGGTCAAAGTAGGACTCTCCAGCGATGATCAACAAGGTGTGGCAGCTGGCCAAGAACACGGGGAGACACATCAAGCTGGCGTCAATGTTCTCTTGATCGATACAGTACCTGGGTTGTATATGTGTGTATATATATATATATATATATGAAGATATATGTGCGTTTGTGTATGGTCACCCCCCCATGCTCCACCCTGCTCTTCTTTCATGCCCTCCTTGTCCTACCAATGGAGTCCTTAAGGCGTGCGAGAACTAGCCAAAAGCACTGGTATTTACTGTGTTTCTGCTTGTTTTCTTATACTCACACTCATAACATGTATATTATAATTATATATATATATATATACATATATATATATATATTACATGTGACATAGGAACATCAGAACCCCTAACATCCTGAACCAGAACCTGGTTCTGTCTTTGGCTTGTTTTTAGTGCGAAGAAAGGGATTTAAAAAGACCAGCATCCAAGCCAAATTCTGGAATCCAGGATTTCCGTACTATTTCTGATTAGGATGTACAAGGAATGTATATAGACCAAACACCATTCCAAAACCATCTAGGATTCCACGATGTTCGTATTAAACCTAAGCAAGGTTAAGAAGGGATTTATATGGGTGGTTGTCAAAATTAGGGTCCCTGTTTGGGTACCCTAAATATTCGGTGCCGTATTATATTACGGACCCAAAAAGGGACCATAATTTTGACCACCACCCGTATGGACCAGGACCACATCCAAAATCAGCAATCCAGGACTCCAGGATTCCCGTATTAATCTTTTCAATCCAGGATTTCCGTATTAAATCTGTTCGATTCGAGATAAAGGGCTCATATAGACCAGCATCCGACCCAAAACCAGGAACCCAGGATTCTAGGATTTGCATATTATTTCTGAATCATAAGGAATTTATATAGACCAGTATCCATTCCAAAACCAAGATTTTCTGTACTAGTTTTGAATAGAACTTGTAAGAGATTTATATGGACCAACGTCCAGTTCAAAATCAGGAATCTACGATTCCAGGATGTTCGTATTCTTACTTTTCTCTAGAATTTGAACCGGATTTGGACAGACCAAAGTCCATTCCAAATTCAGGAATCTAGGATTCGACGATTTTCGCATCAAATCTAATTCAGATGATTAAGAGATTCACATGGACCAGAACCACATCCAAAATCAGATATATTCAATCCAGGGTTTACGTATTAAATCTATTCGTTCAAAAAAAAACCAGAGTCCATTCCCAAACAAACAATCTAGGATTCTACAATGTTCGTACAGTGCTTATTTCAAACTTATACGGGATTTATATAGACGAGAAACGCTTTTAAGACCAGAAACCAAGGATTCGATGATTCCCATATCAATATATTCAATCCGTATCTGAGGCCACCAAATGCTGTACTGCACAAAAGATGCATTTTTCCTACGACAACGTTACCACATGCTGTAGTGCACAAAAGGTTCAACCTTTTTCATTAGCAAAGCCTTACTTGGAGGTTCATGGGTAGTTATAAGTGGGGTAATTATAGTTATAACCCATATTACAGTACGGGACTTATAACCCTACTTATAACTACCCATGAACCTCCAAGTACCAGTTGCTGTAATGCACAAACTGGGACTTTTGGCCTCAACCTGCCAGCCACAAGTCCCAAAACCATTGAGTTTTCAAACTTTTTGAGCATTGCAGCTTTTGGTGAAAGCTTTTAATGAAAACTTTCGAACTTTTTGTGCATTACAGCATTTCGTGTATCTGAGGCCACCAAATGCTGTAAAACACAAAAACGTCAACATTTTTTCATAGAAAATCAGCACCACATGCTGTAATGCAAAAAAAAATGAAAATCATGCTTCTGGTACTATCCCAATAACATACTGCCTTGCCGTAAGGGTCCCAGTGCCTAAGTGTTCCCTGGGCACAAAAATACCCCTAGTAACTCTCTTTGGGCCGCAAGTCTATGGGTAGTTGTCAAAATTATGGTCCCTTTTGGGGTACCCTAAATAATAGGTGCCGTATTATAATAAGGACCCAAAAAGGGACCATAATTTAACAACCACACATATATTAGTGACATTCGTTAGGTAGTGGGACCCTGAAGGTTATATACCCCTATCAAACACTCTTAGTATACTGCTTAAGTTCCGAAACATCAAGCCCAGCTGGACATTTGTCAATAGTGTCCCCTATACTATCCCTTGAAGTGACCCCTATAATGCTCTTCAAACCCCTCTAAACCCCTCGAAGCCCCAACAGCACCCTAATTTTCCGAAGCCTATAACAGCAACCCAGATACTTGTCTATCCACAAGCGTGGCTCCCGCTTGTGTTGGCTTTTGAAGGACTTTCGCCAGGCTTGGAGAGCCTCCCACCTGCAACAAGGGGCCAACTAAGAATGACATATAGCATAGGATTTAATTTTGGGTTTTGGGTTTAGGGAACTAAGAATGACATAAAGCATAGGATTTAATTTTGGGTTTTGGGTTTAGGGTTTAGGGCTTAGCCTGCATAAAATCCACTTAGGGCCCCCTTGTAACTAGGGGGGCCCTTGTTGTGGGCCTGATTTAGGGGCTCTGCAACGCTTCAAGCCTGTGGCCTTTGCAGGGTTGAAAGAGGAATTGATTTCTATGGCCTTCATAGGATTATAAGAGGGAATAGCTTCTGTGGGCTTTATGAGGCTGATGGTGGTAAGGGCCCACCAAACTTAAAATCTGTTCAAAACAAGCCCTGCCACTTGTTTGTTGCGGAGTCGTGCCAACTGTGGCTCAAGAAGGCGTCAATGTCCGGGAGATGGCAAGGTACCGACAGACGCTTCAAAGCCGAATCGGGGCTCGAGTTCATCAGGTCCTGCTTGGTCACCTTGTCCAAGGTAACATAGCGGCAGGTGTTCCGGGCGACCTCCATGACCTTGGCTGCACTGCGGCTGCCCAGGAAAGCTGCTATGCTTCCGGCAGCGGTAAAGGCGCCGCTGGCAGCCAACAGCCGGAAGTGAACCCAACGGCGGAAGCCGGGCAGCATGAGCAGGATGCCTGACATGAGGCCATAGACACCACGGAGGCTTGTGCAGAGAACCATGTCCGAACAAATTGCCTTGCCCATGCGCATTTTCACAACCATGGAGGGCAGGACAGCAATAAGGGCCGTTATGCCCTCCGCCAAGTGGGGCAGTGCCAGGCCTACCCACAGGCGCCCCATTGTGGCGCGTGACGGAAGAATGAGGCCGTAGGCCAGGTAGGGTAGCTGCCAGACGCGCATGACCACATAAGTCAAACTGGTTGTGCCGATGATGTAGGCCCCGAGGAAGCAATCTACCTCCTCGTTTTCGATGTGGCACTTCTGCCCTGCTTCTAAGTGGTCCGTGAGCTGGTGCGCGTACACGGCCACTTTCTGTGTGTTCCAAATCAAACACTTCACGCCAAGGATGATGAGAAGAAGAGAGCCAACCTTTGGCGCCCAGCGGTCTGAGGGCAGGCAGGCGCAGAGCCATGAGATGAAACCCAAGGACCTTAGGAGGTCCCGGACCAAAAGGGTAAGCTGGGCTTGCGATGTCCAGGACGTGAAGGCCAAGTACATGGAGCCCGCCATAAGGAGAAAGCCCAGCGCAAGAGCTGGGTAGCGAACGCGGCGCTGAAGGCGACGGTTCTCCCGCTGTGCCCGGCTCAGAGCCTTCTTCACCATGGAGGCATGGCAGCTCTCGTCAGAACATACGGAGATGGCTCTCATCGGGGAACCTTCCGGCTGGACTGCATCCTGGTTTGCTGCAGCTGCAGCCGCCGCCATGATGCGGGGCGAGGGCGAAGCTGCCTGCGGCTTCGTCATGGCTAGAAGCCTGGGAAGAGCTGGGCCGGACAAGAGTTTGAGTCAGGACGGCTGGCACCATCTGGCTTATATAAAGGGTTTCAGCCAGGGTTTTGGGTTTAGAATTAGGATTTTCAGCCATCGCAAGGGATACTTTCATGATCTTTCATGCCTGGGATTCTGGGGCTTTGGATTGCACCTTTCGTGTGGATCAGTCGTACATCCGCAAAGTGTGGCGTAACTTCTGTGCACCGCGCGTTCGTTTTGCTGAGAGGTGTGACCGAAATCAAAAAAACATGCGGAGAGACTGTCACCCACCCATCCAAAGAAAGTGTATCGCGATATTGTGCAAGGCTGTAAGGATATCAATTAGAGGCAGTGGCTGAGGATTGAATCTTAACAGTGGGACTGCTGAAGAAGGCAAAGAATCACAGAACTGGTTCAAACAGTAAGTAGGGCCGCATGCAGCACAGCCTTTGGGCTTTTCTCTGCTGTGTATACACAAGTCTTCCGTGCAATAGTCTAACGCACACAGCTGAAGGTCCTGACCACTGGGATTCTTCGGCGGCGCTGGGGCTGCCTGGCCATTGCTACTAGCGCAGCCCATGCGTAAGTTGGCCCTTCAGCAACGGGCAGTCGTAGGATGCACTTTTCAGAGCCGAGAGGATCACGAATGCAATAACTCGCGCAAGCAAACGCTGCATTCTTGCATGGTAACTGCAGACCGGTCCATCCGGCCGGGTAGAATGGTATAACGTATGTTACTGCCGAAATAGCGCTGGCATAGGTTCTCAGGGATCAGAGTAGCACAGTGGTCTACAAGCTTGGAATCTGCAGCCTGACCCGTGAAGCAACGAGCAACTTCCACAGCAGGCCTTGTTAAGCGTGCCCAGGCTACTGTACGACTTGCATCAGAACGGAAACTCGCGAATACAAGGCCAGAGGCCTTCTTCTCCTCATGGCTGTGCAGGCAGTTGCTGCAGTCTGTCTGCTGCAACTGCTCAGATGTACGCTTTCAAACGTCTCATTGTTCATCTATAGAATTCATGCCTGGGGGGGCTTCTGCAAAATGTCACGGGAGAAGAAGAAAGTACACATCTTGCAGACGGCTGCTGAGAACAGTGTTGGAACTACGCAGGACAGATTTTTCGTTAACCTCCCTTGGCATGCAGGGTAAGCCCGAATATTCATGCAGGATCACTGGAGTTCACCATACAGCATTGGCAAAAGATGGCGGCACTCTTCTCAGCTGATGCACCTTCAACACGTGCGAGCATGAAGATTCATGCTATCACGTGACAGCATACTATGAATGTTCTGAGTAGCCTTACTATTCATCATTATCCTTGTTGTGTTTATTACGACCATGTTTGCTGTAGTATATTATATTCGACCATAGTATATTCCAGTGATAGTATGGTGCGATATGGCATCAGGAGAAGATCACCGAGCCGGTCTCTGGGTTTGGTGCTCAGCGGCCGGAAGTCTTTTCTTCCAATCTCAGAGATGAGTGTTCATTTTGGTTCTAGGGTTGCGGGTCTATGGGGAAGAGGATTCTTAGGTTTTGGGGTTTGAGGGTTCCGGGTGTGAAATGCCAAAGACATGTCCAAACGACAAGTGACCCAAGCCGCTCCCTGGCGTAAGCCACAATTCCGATACCAACATACCTGTCTGCACCTTTGGTAAACCGGATAGTAGTATTCCAGTGCCCGCAGAACCGGGTTGCTTCTGCAGGGCAGACAGTAGCTGCCAGGCGACCATACAATTTTGCAAGGGGGCTAGGTTCTGTCTCAATAAAGCTTCGTCACACACTGAGCTGCTTTCACCCTTAACCCGAAGCCGCAACCCGAAACCTGATCCTGGCGAGGAGACTGTAAGACGGCAAAGCTTCGCCTCGAAACCAAGCATGTGGAATCGAAACGCATGAGGACGTGCCAGAGGTGCCAGGGTTTTGAGCAGAGAACATTCATCCTAGCACCCACTTCCGCCCGCACAAGGGCGCTGCAAAAATCTCACGAATTCCTCCTTGGTGTGTTCAATCCCGACAAGCAAGTTCAGCAAAAGACGCCAGCTGCCTTAACCCTAGTCCAGGGTTGAATACCCCTATCGATCAAGATATTCCTAACCGCAGCACAACAACCAAAAAGTTCTGCACAGACTCGCGAGTCCTCCCCAAGCCCTCAGACCTAAACCGTCAACTGCCTCCTAACCCCCAAGCTAAGCTAATCCCAATCGAAGCCCGTGTGCCGGCTGGTCGGATCTCCGATGACTCCGGAATGTCGGCACAGGGGCCCGGGGATTCGAAGAGGGAGCTCACCGCCTCACCACAAACAGTCAAGCGATATGATCATTCGGTAGTGGTTGAATGAAACTCACTTTTGGTGAATGTGTGTGTACATATGCATGTATGCATGTATGTATGTGTGTTTGCTTGTACGTGTGCATGCAGGTAGGTATAAGTAGGCAGGTAGGTCGGTAGGTCGGTAG